TAATTAATTAATCAACAGAGCCATATCTTATATTTTTTGTTTTAATTAATTATCTTTGATGTTATATTATAATTTAAAAGTATTTTTTAATTATTATTGATTTTATTTTAATGAATATTTTAAAAATTTTAAAAAAGGAGATAAATTTATATAATTAAATCATTCTAAAAGGAAATAATTTGAATCTTCTTCTGTAGGAAGTAAATATTGTTTTTCAATAGAACCTAATATCTCAGGTTCAGAAGAATTTAAATCGATCCATTCATTTTGGTCTTGAAATAATTCTTTACTATATACGAGTTTTTGATGTGGTTTCTTTGTGTGACTAGGAATTGGTTCAGGTAATTCAAATTCTACTGTTTTGTCTTTAACAAATTTTATTCCAAATCTTTTTGAAGGTGTTTCTACAATACATCTAAAACGAAAAACATCAACACCTACTAATTGATAACGGAAAAAGTTTTTGGCTTCATTCATACTATTACAAGAACAAATAACATCTTTAATACGTGGAATGTCCAATGCTATTACAGCAAAATTATCAGCATATTCAAGTAGTATTTGGTCAATAATAAAATCACCAATTAATGAAAGTATTTGGCATTGAATACGTGGAAGAACAAGATGAACATCTTTTGCAGTTGAACGAATGTTAATATCTTCAATTTGTAGAACTTGTTCTATGTGTCGTTCCATTATTTGTTCTTCTCCATCATTAAAAATTGTTTCAAAAACTGTTTCAATTGGAGCATTTAATTCAAAAAATACTAGTCCACCAGTTAAAGTAAGTACTTTTAATTGATTTAAGATTTGACCATTAGCTATTTTATATTTTGTAGCATCAGGCATATTAATAATAAGTTTTTGAATATTTTTTGATAATCTAAAGATAGTTGGAATACTAATACTAGCTGAAAAAGTAAATGAAATTAAATGTTGTAAATTTGATATATTAATAACTTGAGTAATATTTTGAATAACTGAAATTGAAATATTAGTTAATCCAAGAAGAAGAAAATTATTAAGAGATTGTTGAGTTAGTATTTGAGTTTCCAATATTCGTTCTTCCTGTATTATTTCTAAATCTTTTTTAAAAGATTCAATTTCTGAGAATTGGAACAATTGAATATTCTCTTTATTCTTTAAAGAAATAGGATTTTCAAAATCGACTAATATTATTTTAATATTTCTATTAAGTTTATGAAGAGAAAGAACATTTCTAATAATTGTTTCATAAGACATTTTCTTTTCTTGTTCATCATAACTAATAAATTTACGTTTTATTATTACTTGTTTAAGATGTTCTAATGGGATATTGATAAGTCTAATATGTGGATTTAGTACTTCAACAATAACTTGTTCTACATTACATAATTCTCTAATGTAATTATTAGAACAAGAATGAAGTCTAATCTTTTTTACTTTTGGTCTTATTGATTTGTTTATATAATCTTCTGGTTTAACAGTAAGGTCATACCAGGAAATAGATTCTAATTTCTTAGATGGTATTTTATTTATTTCATCAATTGATGATTCAATGGTTTCAATGTTTGGAAAATATTCTAATAAAAAATTTAATCGAAGATGTTTTAATAATGGATTCTTTCTTACCATTTTTATTGACTCAATACAATTAGATGACACTTTTCTGTAATTTAAAAGAACAGCTTCACTATTACAATATAATAATACAGTAGTAAGATAAACAGGCTCTAATTTTACTCTTCTATTCTTCATTTAAATATCTTTTGACAAATATCAGTTCATTAATTTGTTTAAATATTTGATTGGTTTTTAATCATGAATTTAAAATAATTAAAAGATTGAAGCATTACAATTTTGATGAAGTTATTAAATGTTTTTTTTTATATTTTTCTTCTTCTTTTTTTTTTTTTAAGATTTTAAAAAAACAGAAGAATCAAAAAGAACTCTGAAACGATGAAATAAATGAGTAAAGGAGAGGAAAATGACCTACCAATAATGAAATATAAAGACCAAATTATTAGATGTGTTAAAAATAACCAAATAACTATATTATTAGGAGACACTGGTTGCGGAAAAACTACTATGATGAGTCAATTATTATATGACAACTCTATTCCTTGTATTCATCCCTCTATTATTACAACAAACCCACGAAGAATAGGAGCAGAAAGTGTTGCAGAGAGGGTAGCAACATTAAGAAGGTGTGAATTAGGGAAAGAAGTTGGGTATAAAGTTCGATTTGACAATCATACATCTAAAGAAACAAAATTATATTATGTGACTGATGGGATTCTATTAACAGAAATATCAAATGACTTCAATTTAAAGAAATATGATGTTCTTATTATTGATGAAGCACATGAAAGAAGTATTAATACTGATTTTCTCATTGCTTATTCTTCTAGACTAATTACTCAAAGAAAAGATATAAAGATTATCATTTCTTCAGCAACAATAAATACAAATCAACTCGAAGAGTATTACAAAAAAGTTGGGTGTTCAGTTGGTAAGGTTAATGTTATTGGAAGGCCATATAATGTAGAAATAAAATGGGGAGAAGGAAAACCATCTTCTACTTTAAACCAGGTAGTAGACTGTATTATTTCTATTCACTGTAAACAAGAAAAAGGTGATGTTTTAGTATTTCTTCCAGGGTCTGAAGAGATAGAGAAATGCTGTTCACTTTTAGCTGAAAAAGCTACAGAAATAATTGCAAATTATGATTTAATTATATTACCATTATATTCAGCATTACCTCTTTATAAACAAAAGCGAGTATTCTTTAAAACACCAGAGTATGCAAGAAAAATTGTTATTTCAACAAATATTGCTGAAACATCTATTACTGTGCCAGGAATAAAATATGTAATTGATCAAGGACTTGCTAAAGTATTAAGATCTTCAAGTGGAGCAGAAGGATTAAGCCTTGAAATAATTTCACGTGCGGAAGCTATACAACGAGCAGGAAGAGCAGGAAGAACATCAAATGGGATATGTGTACGTTTATATTCTGAGGAAACATTCAATAATATGAAAAATGAAACTACACCAGAAATAACAAGAGTAAATCTTGAGGGGGTTGTCTTAAAATTAAAATACTTAAATATTAGTCTAGATGAAACATTCTTTTTAGAAGACCCTCCAATTTATTCTGTAGTTGATGCACTAAAAGAATTATATTGTATTAAAGCCATTGATGAAAATGGACATATTACTCAATTAGGAGTAATGATAAGTAAAATCCCTTTACCTCCTAGAGCAGCTGTTGTTTTGTATTATAGTTATTTAGGTCGTTCATTAGAAATTATTTCACCATTATTGGCAATGTTAAACCAAGAGAATCTTTTTACAAAATCATTTCAAATGAAGACATACTCACATGATGATCTTATTTCTCTCTTTATTACTTATCAATTAAACAAAAAACGAAATGATAAATGGTTACATTCTATTGGTATCAATCCTCAGATGATGAAGGCTTCAGAACAAGTCAGTGCACAACTCATCCAAATGGCAGAAGAATGTTTTGGATATAATAAAACATCAACAATAGACGCACTTAGAGACATTACGTTAGAGCCACCAAAAGAAATAAAAAGATCTCGATCACATTCTAGACATTCTCATCACAGACACTACCATTCTTCATCTCACAGCCCTTTTTCAGAAAAAGAAAAAATCTCATACTCGTTGACTACTAAACGATATCGAGATGACAGTAAAATAGAAGTAAAACAAAAAAGTGAAGAAGATGAAGTAAATGAACTTTTAAAAAAGTTTAACACTAAACAAATCATTGAATGTTTTTATGAGGGGTATTGGAAGAACACAGCTAAAAGAACAAGTATTGGTCAATACAATATTAAAAATACTCAAATATTAGGTTATATTCATCCAACAAGTTGTTGCTGTGATACTCAAGATGCTGAGTATGTATTTTATATTTCATTATCATTTACTACAGCTATCTTTCTTAGATGGGTTAATAGAATAGATGGACTAATGGTAAATAACAAATTCCTTAAACAAACACCAAGTGACCTTAAAAAACTAATTGGAGAAAAGTTAAATGATAAATTACAAAAGGAGAAACAACTAAAAGTTACTCCAGTTAGAGAAACAGCTCACATAAATGTTAAAAGGATGGAAGTAAAGAAGGCAACTTCAGACCAAATAAGTGAAGCAAAGAAAAGATATTTAGAGAGAAAAATGAAGAAAGGAATTAATCCTAAATAAACTAATTGTACAATAAAACTCAATACCTTTTTTGTTATTTTTTTTACTATAACAAAATAACAAAAATTCAAAAAAAATATTAATTATATTGTTATTTGTATCACATCGACTAATCCTTTTTATAATTATTTTAATAAACGTCTTCTTTAATATTAAAGAACCTAATCAATTTAGTTATTATAATTATAAATAATTATTGTAAACTATTCTATTATATAATACATTAATGAAGTTATTATTATAATTTCTTCAAAATTTTTATTCTTATTAAATTATTTCTTGTCAGATTTAGATAAATTTTATTCTTTATAATTAATTCGTTTATTTTATTATTATTTGTTCTTGTTTTCAGATAGGTAATGATATATTTCTTTCTTATATTCATGTTGTATCAATATAAGTTATTTAAATTATATTTGTTTTATTAATAAAATGAGAATTTTAAAAAGTAAGTGCCTAAATGTGAATTACTCAAAGATATTGAACACCAGTTGGGTAAAGTGGATCAGTAGCAACACCACAAGTATTTCCTTCAATAACCATATTGATGTATCCTTTGTCTCCCCATCCAGTTCCCCATGAGTTTCTGACAATCCAACATTCTTTTCCATCAACAACACCATATCCAACAGCACAGACTTCGTGATTCAAAGCAAAGAAGTTGTTCTTACATTTAGTATCACTGTATGCACCACTTTTGTATAATTGGAATTTAGCAGATGATGCATCAATTGAAACATCAACAAGACCTTGTGAAAGTGCTGCCTTAAGTTCAGCTTCGTTGTTTCTTGGAACTTTATTGTATCCAGTGATTTTAGCAAATGCCTTAACATTAGTCTTACAAGTAGAATCAGTTCCAGTATATGGATAATCACTTTCTTTAGCAACTCCATTTTCTATAATGTAATCATAAACATTTGATCCAAGTCCTCCATTACATCCATTGTTTCCATTATCTCTAGTACATTGAACCATGTGTTCTTCTGAAAGATCAAGTGTATTAGCATTACCACCTTTTTCAATTAATAATCTTCCTTCAAGTGCTGCAAGTGAACCGAATGTATAACATGATCCACATTGGGCTTGATCTCTAATTGGAGTTACTTTTCCTTGAGCTCTCCAGTCTACTGATTCTGGTGCTTGAATATTTAAATATGTAACTTTTCCATTTTCTTCAACAGTTCTTTTTGATTTAAGAAGAGTTCTATATTCTTCATTAGTCATAGCAGCAAATGGACCATCAACAGATAATTTGAATGAACCTTTTTTATTAAATTCAGCAACAAATCTAGCATTCATATTGAAGATAGCTCTTCTTCTAAGTGCTTCAACTGCAGTGAAGTGTTTATTGTTATTAGCAGCCCATGTATTGAAATCAATAGCATTTGCAATAGCAAGCAAACAAATAAAAGCAAACATTACTGGTTTATTTGTTCTTTTTTGAGTTTAAATACCAATACTTTCAAAATAAAAGAATTTTTGACTAAAAAAGAAAAATCTATTGTCATTGATATTTCTTTTTGAGTTCAATGATAAATACTAAGTTAATTTTTAAAATATTTAATAATTCTAATATAACTCTTTTTATTTATAAAAAAATTCAATAAAATAAACAAAATTTTTGGAAACATTTGAAATTTCTCATAACTCAGAATTTACTTAGAAAATAACACAAAATATAAATAAAATATGGTTTTATTTGAAAAATGTTTTATCTTTAAAAAAAAATATTTTTTTAATTGAACCCTTTATAAATTTGTTTTTCTTATTTTTTGTGTGTTTTCAGAATGATTGAACTTCATTTAAAATGAGTGTTGAAATTCCTGGTACTATTGAAAGGATTGAGTTAGAAAATTTCATGTGCCATAAACATCTTATTTTAGAATTGTCTCCACAAGTCAATTTTATTGTAGGAGAAAATGGTAGTGGTAAATCAGCCATTTTAGTAGCTCTTGCTATTTGTTTTGGTGCAAAAGCACAATTTACCAATAGAGGAAAACGAGCTTCTGATGTTATAAAAACTGGAGAGAGTTATTGTAAAATTATAGTTTATTTAAGAAATAGAGGAGAAAATTCATTAAATCATGACAAATATGGAGACACAGTTATTATTGAAAGAAAAATTACTAAAGAAGGTGGAAATACATATAAAGTATCTGTATTATTTATGGGAGAAAAACCTATTACTATAGGTAAGAAAGCTTCAGATGTTACAGAAGTATTAGACTATTTTAATATACCAATAGACAACCCATGTATTCTTCTTATGCAAGAAACTTCTAAGTCATTTCTTACTGCAACTAGAGGAGAAGATAAATACAATTTTTTTCTTCAAGCAACACAATTAGACATTATTAAAGAAAGTTATAAACAAGCTGAAGAATTAAGGAAGAAAGCAAAACAAACAGAAGAAGCAAAAAAGTTGGTTATACCTGAAATGAAAAGAACAGTTGAATTACTTGAAGATAAATTAAAAGACGCTCAAGGGATTCAACAATTAAAAAAAAGAATTGAAGAATTAGAATGTGAAGAAAAGTGGGCTATTGTACGTGACGAAATAAACAAAGTTAAACAATTAGAACATGAGTGTAGTTCATTAGAAGAGAAAATTAATGAATTGAGTCATAGTTTTATTGAACAAAAAATTGAAATGGTTGAAGAACAAATACAACAAGGACAAAAAGAAATTAAATGTCTTGAAAATGAAATCAAACAACTTGAAATTCAAAAGAAAGAACAAAATGAATTAAATAAAATTAAAAGAAAAGAATTAGAAGAATGTAAAACGGAAATAAATGATGCTAAAGATCGCTTAAAAATAAGTCAACGTCGTTTACAATTATTAAGAGATACATTAGAAGAATCAAAGAGTCATGACGCAAGAGATAATGAATTAGCTAAACAAGATAAAGCAGATAAAATTAAAAGTGCAGAGAATGAAATTAAAAAATGTCTTAATAGAGAAGAAAATCTTAAAATTGAAATAAAGCCATTACAAGAAAAACTTGAAGAAAAAGGAAGAATATTTGGAGGATATGATGATGATGTTAAACAATTAAGAAGAAAATTGGAAGAATTTAATATAGAAAAAATAAAATTAAAAGATGAACAAAAAGATGCATTAACAAAATATCATAAAAATATGCCCCAGTTTGTTAAAATGATTCAACAAACAACTTTTGAGTATGAGGTCTTTGGACCTATTGGAGAGTTTATTAGATTAAAAGATAATAAATGGAATCATGCAACAGAAAATGCTATTAAAAGAAGTAATTTAGCATCTTTTATTGTTAGAAGTGAAAATGATAAAAAAAAGTTAAGAGATATTGGTAAAAGATGTGAATTTGATGTACAAATTTATGTATATTCAATTAAATTTGGGGATAAAAGATATTTAGTAAATCAAAGAAATTATCCAACACTAATTGAACAATTAGAAATTGAAAAGAACATTATATTTAATATACTTGTTGATCATACCAATATAGATACTATTGCTATAGCAATTGATAGAACCCAAGGAAAAAAATTATTTGTATTAGAAAACTATCCAAAAATTGTTTATTTACAAAATGGAAGTTATTTACAACGGTCTGGAAGAACAGAGGCTTATTTTCCATATAAAATTCCTACAAGAACTATTTATGGGGGTAAAAACATTGATATATTATTAAATGACTTACTAAAACAAACACATCAAGTTTCTTTAGACTTAAATGGAAAAGAAGAACTTAGAAATACTGTTGAAAGAGAAAAGAATGAAGTAAATAAATCTATTGGTGAAGTTAGAAGAAAAATTAGAGAAGCAGAACGTGAAACAAGAATGGCCCAAAGTAAAAAAAGAGATGCTGAAAATATTATTATTAAAGAACCAGAAAATATTGAAGAATTAGAGAATAATTGTATTAAATTACAAGAAAATATTTACACTATTACAAAAGAAATAGAAGAAAAGAATGAAAGAAGAAGAGAATTAGAAAGTCAAAATGAAAATATTACTGAACACTTTAATAGTTATATAAAACAATTTAAAAATAAAGAAAAAGAAATTAATGATATTAAAACAAATCAATATAAACTCATGAGCCAAAGAGATGAATTAAAAATTGAACAAAGTAATATAGAAATCAAAACAAAACAACTTAAATCTTTATTAGAACAAAAAAATGAACAATTATTAAATGAAAAAATCTTCATTGAAAAAGTAAAAAATGAAGCAGATGAATATAAATTCATTGACACTTTACGTGATATTAAAGTTATTCAACAAGAAAAAGAAAAATGTGAAAAAAAAGAACAAGAAATGAATAGTGAACAAATAGATTATGATTTAATAGAAAAAGAATATATAAGGAAAAAAGGTCATTTAGAAGATATTGAAACACAATTAAAACAAATACAACAACTTTGTGACACTCTTGAAAAAGAACTTAAAAAAAGAAAAAATAAATATGGGCAATTACTTAAAATTACTTCAATAAAAACAATGGATTATTTTAATTTATTATTAAAAAAAAAACCAGGGTGTAGTGGTAAAATTCGATTAGATCATTCTAAAAAAATTCTCGATGTTGAAGTATCTATGGAAACTAACCAAAAAGGAAGAGATGTTAAAACGTTGTCTGGTGGAGAAAGAAGTTTTTCTACAGTTTGTTTATTGTTATCACTGTGGAATGTTGTTGATTGTCCTTTTAGAGCAATGGATGAGTTTGATGTTTATATGGATTCTGTAGCAAGAAAAGTAGCTATTCAAGCATTAATGGAATCAACACAATCATCTAATAAAAGGCAATACATTTTTATTACACCACATAATCTTGATGGAGTTATATCAACAGATTCTGTTAAAGTATTTATGATGAAACAACCAGACAGATAAAAAATATTAAAAAAAAGTAATAGTTTTGTTTTTGAATAATTTATTTAATTTTTTGTTTCTTTTTTTTAATTTGAAAGAAATTTTCTTTCATCGAAACAAATCCAAAAAATCTATTGAAAATTCTAATAATTATAAGAAAAAGAGAAAAATAAATAGATAAAGAAATAATTTCTGTATTAAAGACTGGAAATATCTAATATATTTATCTTTGCAAAAAAAGTTGAAAATTATAGAAAAAAGTAAGTGGAAAATAGATAGGCATATTTTTGAGCCAAGTAGGAAAATAAAATTATGTATGGAATTTCAATAAAAAGAACTATAAATTTTATACTAAATCATATGTTCTTTAATAATAATACAATTGAACAACTTGATAAATTGATTAGTGAAGTTACTGAGCCTATAACACGAAATATTCTTGAAAGAATTGTAGTTATAATGAAAAGTTTTACTATTATTACTTTACTAAAAACCCTTGGAATTAAAAACAAAAATGAGGTTTGTGGATTTCTTTCAAAACATACAGTTGAAATAGAAGACAAGAGTTTATTAATGGAATTTTATCAGATTAAAGAAGATGAAATTCAAGATGCAAAAGATGAGAGTGATGTCTCTGTATTATGTGATTTATTATGTGATAATGAAAGTCCTGAAATAACTGATATCAAAAGAAGATTAGATTGTTTAGAATTAAAAATAGATAAAAATAATAGCCTTACTACTCCAAGACAAACGGGATTCTTAAGACCTACTTCTCCTGTAATTACTCTTGGAAATAAAAGTGTTGATTCACATGTTAGAACAGAAATTTCTAATACTAAAAAAGTTTTAGAAGATGAAATAGCTAATTTACAAAACCAAATTGATAATTTAAAACGTAGCTCTCTTTCAATCCCTCAAAGTCCAAGAGAACATGAAAAAAAAATTTCAAGAACAAGTTCAAAGAAGTTAATCGAATATGAAAAAGAAGAAAAGAAGGAAGATAAAAAATTAAGAAAGTCCCAAACAAAGAAAGACGAAGAAGAACGTAAGAAGTTATTAAAAGAGGAAGAAGAAAAGAAAAAGGCTACAAAAAGAGAATCAAAATTAACAAAGAAAGAACTTGAAGAATTAGAAAAACAAAAGAAAACAGAAGAAGAAGAGGAAAAACGAAAACAAAAAGAAGAAGAAGAACGTAAGAAAAAAGAGGAATTAAAAAAACAAAAAGAAGAAGAAGAAAGAGTCAAATTAAAAAAAGAAGCAGAAGCCAAAATGCAACAAGAAATGAGAAGAGAAGCATTTAATGAAGATGAACAATTGATAGATTTAGGAACACAAATGGAAATATTACAAGAATGGTCTGGATTATTAAATTGTGAAATTTTATTTGATTCTGATAATGATGATGCAGAAAATGATAATATGCAATTCAATGAAAAAGTTATGTTTAAAGAAAATTGTTTCTTCATTAACTTTGATAAAAAAGGAAATGTTTTCGGTGCTTTTATGAAAGAGAATATAGGGCTATTAGATGAAGATGTAGATGATGACCAACATTTTATCTTCTCTTTAAAAAAAGAAAATAAAAATTGTCCAAAAAGATGGTTCATTAAATCTGGAAAAGAGGGTGGAATTAAATTATTTAGTAATAACGATTGTTTATATCAAATTGGTAATGTTAACTTCGGTTGTTTTGGTGTTTCTAAGATAAATCTCAGAAGAAATGTTTGTTGTACATTGTCTGAAGAATATGAAGGTATATCCGATTTAGACTTGGTTGGTACAAATTGGAAATTCTTTAGTTTAGAAAGGGTTGTAGTTGTTCATATGTTTTGAACGATATTATTCTTCAACACCTATTAGAAGAATAAAAAAAATAATTGTACCATTTTCTTCTTTTTTCAGTTTTAAAACTAAAAATATTGTTTTAAAGAAATAATTGTAACAAGTTTAAAAATTATGAACATAATTCTTATAAACAATCCATTAGTTTCTTGAATAAACCATTCAATTCATTGCAATAGTATAATATATAAGCAATAACAATGAAATAAGAAACTTATGAGATGAAAGTAAAAAAGTCTTAAATAATAAAAAATGATTTTAAAGAATCAAATCAAATTAATTAATGAAGCATTTCCAAGCATTCATTTTGTGCTTGATTGATTAAATTGATTTCTTCAATTAATGATTGTTTCTTTTCTAAAATTGTTTTCTTAACGTCTTCAGGTGTTTTAACGAAATGAACATCATTAATTTTTAAGTCAAGATCTTTTAAGGATTTTTCCATTTGTTGTTTCTTTGCAGCTAATCGTTGTGCTTCTTGTTTATAGTCAATGATTCCTTCCAAATGAGAGTATAATCTTGTAGAATTATCGATGACATGCATTGGGGATCCTTTGTAAATTCCATCCTTGACAATGTTTACATCACCAATACCAGCTAAACTACTAATGATAATTTCATAACCTTCCAAATCTCTTTGAGTGACAATAGTACACTTTGGTTTTTGTTTAGATGAAATAATAGCTTGTGAATAAATTCCATTAAGTGATCTTATTCCTTTAATAATAGTATAAATATATTTAATTTCTTCATCTAAAGATGGATTATTAAATTCATTAATTGGTTCAGGATAACTTGATACCATAATTGATATTTCATTATTATTTCTTCTTGGTAATCTTTGCCAAAGTTCTTCTGTAATAAATGGCATAAATGGATGAAGAACTCTTAATCCAATTTCAATGACATTATATAAAACATCTTCTGAAGCTCTTCTTCTTTCATTATCAGGTCCTTTAAATATAACTTTTGATGCTTCTAAATAAACATCACAAAAATCATATAACCAAAATGAATATATAGCTTGTGTAGCATTTCCAAATTCATAATTTTTAAACCATTGATGAACTAATGTAATCATAACATTTAATCTATGTAAAATCCATTGATCAAGTCTACTATTTGTTTTTTTAATTTCAAATTTTTCTTGTGGTTTAAAATCTTTTCTAAAATTCATACTTGAAAATTTAAATGCATTCCATAATTTATTACAGAAATTTCTATATCCAACAACTCTATTAATATCAAGATTAATATCATGTCCTTGTGTCATATATGCTAATAATGCAAATCTCATTGCATCTGTTCCACATTCTTCAATTCCATTAGGAAAATCTTTTTTTTGTCCTTCTGTTGCAAGAATACATTCTTTTTCTGGTAAATTATATGTATATAATTTTTCATTTAATCCTTGTAATGAAATTCCTTCTATAACATCAATTGGATCAATAATATTTCCTAATGATTTTGACATTTTTCTTCCTTGTGCATCTCTTACAATAGAATGGAATAATACTTCTTTAAATGGTAAACAATTCATAAGTTCTAATGACATCATAACCATTCTTGCTACCCAAAAGAATATAATATCATTTCCTGTTTCTAATAATTCTCCTGGGAAATATTTTTCTAAATCTTTTGTTTTTTCTGGCCATCCCATAACACTAAATGGGAATAATCCTGATGAAAACCATGTATCTAATACATCTGGATCTTGTTTTAATTCAATATCTTCAATATTTACTCCTTTTATTTCTGCTGCTTTCTTTTTTGCTTCTTCTTCACTTCTTGCAACAACCCAATTTTTCATATCAAATTCATTTGTTTCTTTTTCTTTTTTATTTTTTATTAAATATGCTGGAATTCTATGTCCCCACCATAATTGTCTTGAAATACACCAATCATGAATATTTTCTAACCATCTATACCATACATTTTCCATTTCACTTGGATATATTTTTAATTCTCCTTTTCTTACTGCTTCTACTGCTCTTTTTGCCATATCTTTACAATTTACCCACCATTGTGGTTTAATTCTTGGTTCAATAATATCATGACTTCTTGAACAAATTGGTACTCTCATTGCTGATGCTTTAACTCCTTTATATAATCCTTTTTCTTTTAATTTTTCTATTATTACTTCTCTACATTCAAATCTTTTCATTCCTTCAAATTCTCCACATTCTTGATTCATAGTTCCATCATCATTTAAAATATTAATAATTTTTAATTTATGTCTAATTGCAACATTATAATCATTTGGATCATGTGCTGGTGTTACTTTAACACATCCTGTACCAAATTCCATATCTACTAATTCATCATCTTCAATAATTGGTAATATTTTTCCATTAAATGGATGTCTAACTGACCATCCATGATATTTTTTATATCTTTCATCTTTTGAATGAATACAAACACAAACATCTCCTAACATTGTTTCAATTCTTGTTGTATCAATTAAAATTTCTCCTTCATCTTTTCCTGTTTTTGGATTAACTAATGGATATGCAAATTCATGTAAATTTCCAAATATAATAGGTTTTTCATATCCTGGAACATTTATTTCTGTTGGTTTACAAACATCTATATATTCTACTTCTATATCTGAAATAGCTGTTTTAAGTGTACAACACCAATTAACTAATTTTTGTTCTCTATATAATAATCCTTTTTCATAAAATCTACAAAATGCTTCTTTAACTGCTTCTCCTCTTTTTTCATCCATTGTAAATACTTCTCTACTCCAATCTAATGAACTTCCTAATCTTCTTAATTGATTACAAATTCCTTTTCCATATTCTTCTTTCCATTTCCAAACTTCTTCTAAAAATTTTTCTCTTCCAATATCATGTCTTGTAACTCCTTGTTCTCTCATTAATTTTTTTTCTACAACTACTTGTGTAGCAATTCCTGCATGATCTACTCCTGGAACCCATAATGTTTCATCTCCTTTCATTCTATGATATCTAACTATTGTATCTTGAATAGAATTTGTTAATGCATGTCCTAAATGTAATTTTCCTGTAACATTAGGTGGTGGAATAACCATAACAAATTTTTTTCCACTTTTACTTGAATATTCTGGTTTAAAAAATCCTTCTTTTTCCCACCATTCATACCATCCTTCTTCAACATATTTAGGACTATATGTATTTGGCATTGGTTCAATAACTTTTTTCTTTTCTCCTTTATTTGTTTTATTAAATTTAATTTCTTCTTTTTCTTTTATTTGTTTTTTATTTTCTTTCTTTGTTTTTCCTAAATTATTCTTTTGTTGTTGTTGTGCTTCTTGTTTCTTCTTAAATTTTTCATTTTTTGCTGCATTTTTTGCTTTTTTCATTTCTTCTCTTCTTTTTTTCTTTTCTATTTCTTCTGCTGTAAGTTCTTTGACTACTTTTTGTTCTTTTGTTTGTGGTGTATTCATCTATTGTTTCTTTTATTTGATTAAAGGGTTGTTCCTTTTTTGTATTATTTCTCAAATAGGGTTTTCTTCTTTTTCTTTTTCTCTTTTTGTTTATTTCCCTGTTCTTTTTTTCATTATCTTCTCTCTCCAT